GGGTGGAGGGGGTGAAGGGAGGGCAGGGGAATGGGGAAAAAATAAGAACCAAGATACACCATGTACAGGTACAAGTTCCCAATGAGAAATATAAATGTGCTGTATACCTAAAATGTACCAATAAAAGAACTTAAGTAATAAAAAAAAAAGAAGGGATCAGACACAGTGAGCAATCCACACAGGCCCCTGGGCATGAAGGGCAGGTCTCCTGACTGCTGGGGCCTTTGCCCCAGCGGCCCTTCTATTTGCCCGCTGTGACCCGGGCTAGGAGCCCCAGACTGAGGTGCAGCAGGGTGGGGTGCTTCCCAGCTCACTCTCTCCCTCTGCCCAGCCTCAGCCCCAGCGCTGGTGAGTACGCCAAGTGTGCCTGTCCCATCCCCGCTCAGGCCACAGCCCTGACCCTGCCTCTCCCTGGCCTCCCTCCTGTGCCCCTGCCCCTCCCCGCTCCCAGAAGGAGTCTTGTTTACTGCCCTCACCGGGCACTTCCTCAGTTTCCAACACAGTTAACCCTCACCCCACCGCAATCCTCTCGGTTCCGTAATTGTTATGTCAAATTGACCCCTGCAGACTCATTACTGGTTTTTCAACACTAGACAGCAAATAGACCCCTTAAAAGGAAAAAATAAAATTTTTTTTAGGGAAGTCGAACTAGGGGCTGGAGGTATAGTTCTGTGGTTCAGCATTTGCCTAGCATGTGCAAGGCTCTGGGTTCAAACCCCAGCACCACAAAAGAAAGAACAACATCAGGGGAAGGTGTTATTTTTTCATACCGGGGATTGAACTCAGGACCTTGCGCTTTTGAGGCAGGCTGCGGCACCACTGAGCTAAATCCCTGGCCCAGGGGAAGGTGTTTTTTAGCCCAATGAAGTCAGGCTGAGTGGCCCTCCTGAGGCGCACACTCACCGCGGCCCCAGCGGGCGTGTGGATGTGCACGATGCACTTGACATCCGGGCGGGCGGCATAGATTGCAGAGTGCAGGGTGAAGCCAGCTTGATTGACTCCGAGGTTAGTGCTTCCACGGTCCACTATGTCACCTTGTAGATTGATTTTAACCTGAAATAACCAAAGTTAAAGATGTGGAGAGCACCTCCAGTCACCCCAGCTGCAGACTACATAAACCCATGCTCGGGTGTCTGAAACTCCCCTAAGGTTCTTCCTTGCTTGAAAACAACCAGCAAACAACCAGTGCTGCCCAGTCCCTCCCGCCGAGATCCATGCAAACACCTTACCAAGCTGGACGCGGTCACTTCACTGTAAAGAAGCCCAAAAGGAACAATCAGGAAGTGCTCCTGCTCGGAGTTCACTCTGGTCTGTAGGGAAAATGACTGAGTTAGCTCCCAAGTGCCTCTGAAATTACCTGCATCTCTTTCAGGCCACAAACTTACAGGTGAGGCACACAGGGGTACTTACCCACAGTGCCCCTCCAGAGCGAAGAGGTACTGGAAGCTTCCTGTTCTTAAATTAAATAGTAATTTAACTTACGAAGTACAGAAAGTACTTTCTGGTCACACTTAGGAAAACTGACTTTACAGAGGCCAGGCGTGGTGGTGCACGCCTGTGCTCCCATCTACTTGGGAGGCTGAGGCAGGATAGTCACGAGTTTGAAGCCACCTTGGGTAGCTCAGCACAACCCTATCTCAAAATTAAAAAAAAAAAAGACGACTTTATAGAGAAGCAAAGCAGTTCAACAGTAGCACTCTCACAGGCCAGTGAGTCGCCGCCAGCTTACTGGAAATGCAAGCAGTCTCACGGGGGAAAGCCACCATACATCAGGGCATAAGAATGAAAACCAAAACCTGCTTTTAAAATCACAAATGAGAGCGATCTCTCTTTTAAATTCTCCACGCAACACCACATCACTGCTCCTCGCACAGTGTGTTTCTTTCTTCAGAATTCATTCAATACAGATTTGACACCAAATGTATACTAGGTGCTGGGTTTACAGCAGTAAACAAAGAAGAGTCCTGCCCACAGAAGTTTATAAATATATAAAGTCAATCTAGTTTCTGGCTTTGGTTTTTGTTTTCATTGTTTTGGTTTGTCTGTTTGGTTTTGTGAGACAGGGTCTCACTGTGTAGCCCAGACAGGCCTTCAAGTCACAGGGATCCTCCTGTGTCAGTCTTCTGAGTGCTGGAATTACAGGCGTATACCACCATGCCCAGCTCATAATCTAGTTTTTATAAACTTTTATAGCTTCCAAAGATTTTCTATAGATGAAATTGAAACACATTTACTACTAAGTTAGAGTCAGTGGGATGCAATGTTTGAGAAAGACTTCAGGCGTTTAGTCCAACCTTTTGACAGCAGGAACCAGTGGCCCCACTCCATGCCTCTGGGGAGTAGTACACAACCCCCAGTACAAGGCCCTGGACACAGGGTGGGCTCCATGAGGTCAGCCTGGAGGTCAGCATTCCCTGGAGTCCAAAACAGAACTAAACCAAGCACCTGTCGTGCTCCGTAGGTGCCAAGCCTCACAGCATTCCACCCACAAGAGGACGGAAAGGCACAGCCACCAGCTAAGGCACACTGAGAAAGGTCACCCTGAGCGCCAGTCAGGCCAGCCTGGCTTGTCCCCCTTCCAGCAAGGGCTTCTCTAAATCCAACACAATCTCAAAGATCTAACTCAGAAAATCCACTCCCATCCTCTAACACTTGTTAGCATTTTAAATCCCTTCAACAGAAAATCCCTATGACCCTCTCTCAAAGAAAGGGCAGGATGACCTGCATTAAGTGAGTCAAACTTACTTACATGGCATTCAAAGCAGGACTGGTGGTAAACAGCATTTTTAAGCCCCCAGAGAATGTGAAGCTGCCGTTAGAGCCATGGATTACATTTCTTATCACAGCTGTGACATTTTCATGGCACTCATTCTTAGGCCACCATTTAGCACAAAATCTCCACTAGAGCACCCTGCCCAGTGTGATCAGCAGAGAGGCCAGCAGCCTCCTGATGGCCCCAGGAAGGGAGCCGCACCCAGCTGGGCTAACTCGCCCACCAATCCAGCATCAGAAGGCGCCAGCGAGTTCTTATCTCAACTTTATGGAAGCAATGCAGTCAGCAGGGGCTCGCACGCACACCACTGTGCCCGACCTGGGGCATGCCACTTTGTGCCCCTTGGGGAGACAGCAACAAGAAGCATGCAGAATGAGGAAGGCCACCGGCAAGGGAATAGACCAGGAAACAGTCTGCACAGCAGGAGAGAGCATGGCCAGCCTGCATTTCGAGACATTCACTGTAGAAGCAATGCTGGGAGCAGCTGGGGAGAAGACAACTGAGCTCCAGCAGAAGTCAATGCCAAGTCCCAGAAACACAGCACTCTGGTCACAGAGGTGGCTCCAGACCCTCACCTCGGGAGGTTTCACACTGCTATGAATCCAGAAGAGCTGCCTTGCAACGTGCGAATTGTGTGCAGAAGCAAAGCTCTGAACAGTCTCAGCGGCTGTCAGCACTGACGCCTCAGGAGACAGAGGGAAGGCAGGGTCAGGACTGTCTCTGAGACCTCTGCGTAAGGGTGCACCCACTACACTAACCAGGCACTACATTAACGATTTGAAATATCCAATAAAAGAAATGAACTAAAAAACAGAAGACTGAAACAAGCTTAAAAACCAAAGGAAGGAAGCAGTTCAAAGAACAAAGTTATCTTGGGGCCAAGGATTTAGCTCAGTGGCACTGTGCCTGCCTTGCAAGTGCAAGGTCCTGAGTTTGATCCTCGGTACCAGAAAAATAAAAATAAAAGAGCAAAGCTGTTGGGAGCAATGCTACATAATTCTAGGGAAAAATCATTTGAGTAGGCCTAGTTCTCCTGCCTACAGGCCAGCTATAACACTCCAAGACATAATTCCATTTTGGCCTCAGGGCACAAGGGAGATCTCAATGATCCCATGATGCTGTAATGCTCCAGGACAAGACCACACCTGCGGGAGACGCCCTGGGAGGAACTAAATCTTCATCTGCATAGTTCCTCATTGTTCTTAGATTTCTGCCGCCCCCACCCAGTCTTTTGTTACACCTTGTTCATCCCAATATGATGCTGAAATCTACATTATTCATTTGTTACATTTGTTTCTTCGGATGGACTAAATAAAAGGTGCTGCAAGCTAGGGCTTCTTGTCTTTGCTGCCCAGAGCAGCACTGATCAGACCCAAAGCTCAGCTTCTTCTCAGGCTCATTTGTCTACCTTTCCTGAAATTCGCCGTGTGCTGCCGTGGCTCGCAGGAGACCAGGACTCACTGCAGAGGTTCTGGTAACAGTCCCCTTCCCCTGTTCCCTACACAAAGCTATCTCTACAAATGAAGGGAGGGAAGGAGGGAGGGAAACAATCTAGCTGCCAGTGCCTTAAGAATCTAAGCAGCCAGGAAGGGACGAACTCCAAGCTAGAGAACAAGTCTGGCCAGAACACAGGCCTGTAATAGGTCGTCAAGACTACAGAATGGCCACAAGGTCAGAAGGGTTCCCGTTTTTTCTGTGACATGATGAGGTCATTTGCTGAGAAGAGGAAGAGGTCAGGAGTTTTAAAGACAGTAGAGAAGCCTTACATACTGGTGAGTCTGTATGAAAGACCCCCATGGCTGCTGGGCAGCATTGGCCTGCTGAGATGGGCTATCGACCTAAGGGCAGAGCCAGGGGATCTGCTTCGAACCTTCTGCTCAGATGCCAGAGAGGTGGAATGCAGCACCATCCCCGTTACAGCAAAGCTTGGTATGGGTAACAAGCCACCAGCAATGTGTACTATGGATGACCTGAAGAAAAGGGAGGGACTGATAATGTTGAAAATGGTTTTTAAAAATTGGGGGCCGGGGCCAGGGATTTAGCTCAGCGGTTCTGCCACCTGTGTCCCGAGTTCAATACCTGATACCAAAAAAAAAAAAAAAAAAAAAACTGGAGTAGCAGAAGACATAAGTGTGAGAGATAACTTTTTAGTCAGAGCTGAGAAGCACACAGTTCATTCCTAGGCTTTTAAGCATAAAAAGAATTTTAGGAACTGCCTGTAATTTGGTAAACACTCATTAGGTCAGCATGCAAGAAAGAAACTTTAAAGAATGGCCATCCTCAGAACTCCTGACCTGAACGCAGCAACTGGCAGACTGCTATATTCTGCAGACTTCCTGAAGCCCGCCTCAAGCTCCCCACAGCCTGCGCCCCGCCCGGGGCCGGCCCTGTTTCTCACCGTGATGTGGTTGTAGATGAGCTGAGACCACCCAAAGAGGTCGGCCAGTCTGTGGAAGGCAGCGAGTTTACACCGCAGCAGCTTCTCCCCCTTGTCATACGCGATGGAGTCGGAGCCTCTGAGATCATTCACAGGGGTCACCATACCAAGACCTGAAACGAAGAGAAAGGACTCAAATATTAATGACTCTTAGCATATAAATCAAGTAACAATGGATCTGAGCTATGTATCTGTCACAACAGACCACAAAGTCTCAAAACCAGAAGGACTGTACTCTCCAAAATTAATATAGTTAAGTTAGAAATAAGTAATAAAAGGCCGGGGATTTAGCTCAGTGGTTCCGCCGCCTGCCTGGCAAGGACAAGGACCCAAGTTCAATCCCTGGTACCAAAAATAAAAAAAAGAAAGAAAGAAGTAACAAAAAGGTAGTCAAATTTGTGAGATGCGGTAAAACATGCTTAGAAGGAAATTTATAGCATTAAACATATGTATCAGAAAGGAAGAAAAAGTAAAGTTTTTATTAAAGCAAAAGTTGGTTAAGATATAAAATTTTAAATTAATAAAATAAAAATAAGATAAGCAATGAAACAAACCTCTAGCCTTGCTTACCAACAAAACAGTGAAGACAGAAAAACTCAATGTGAAGAACCAGAGGGGCTATCACTACATTCCTGCAAGCACTGAAAGGGCAGTGAAGGGATGGTATGAACTACTATGCCAGCAATTCTTTACTCGATGAAACAGACAAACTCTCCAAAGCGGCACAGAATAGACGCCTGAAGAGCCCTATTTCTATTAAGCCAGGTTTGCAGTTACATACTTTTCCACAAAGTTTTCTATCAGACTTTCTGGGAAGAAATAATACCAAGGTTAGAAAGCTCTTCCAGAACACTTCCCAGCTCATGCTCTGAGGCCAGCACCCTCACCACTGGCACACAGGGACATTAGGCGACACTGGAAGGAAAAGCCCAATGTTCCTCATGAACACACCCTAAAAAGTACTGAACTTTAGCAAATAATCCGACATTACATAGAGTTAAAGAATACGATCAAGCCAGGTGTGGTGGCACATGCCTATTACCTCAACATTTGGGAGGCTGAGGCAGGAGGATCACCATGATTTTGAGGCCAACCTGGGCTACATAGTGAGTTCAAGGTCAGCCTGAACTACACAGTGAGACCCTGTCTCAAAAACAAAACAAACAAACCATGAGCAGTAGGGTTCATCTGGAGAGTGCGAGGTTGGGTCAGCATCTGAAACCAACCAACATAATCACTATCTTGACCTAAAGAAGAAAACCTATGTTGGGCTGGAGATTTAGCTCAGTGGTTCCGCTGCCTGCCCCGCAAGTGGAAAGACCTGCAAGCGGAAAGACCCGAGTTCAATCCCTGGTATGAAAAAAAAAAAAAAAAAAAGAAGAAGAAAACCTATGTGATCATTTCAATAGATGCAGAAGATGCACTGCACAAAATCTAACATGCACCAGGATACAAGTGCTCAGCAAGACAGAGACAGATGAGCACATCCTATCTGGACAAAGGACATCAAAAACCTACCGCTGACATCCAAAGCAAGAGTGAAAATCAGCGGTGCAGGTGTATTCCTGGCTCTAGCACTGAGTACTGTACCACAGGTTCCAGCCAATGCAGAGACAAGGAGGAAGAGCAAGTCAAAACAAATGTTGAGAAGGAAAAAAAAGAAATCTTTGCTGTCTTCCTTCCCTTTTTTTAACGTGGCATTACTGAAAAAAAATTCTTTGGGCCAGGGATTTAGCTCAGTGGCACTGCTCCTGCCTTGAAAGCTAAAGGTCTTGCATTCCATCCCTGGTACCAAAAAAAAAAAAATTCTTTATCTCTGACTATAAGACAATATGTAAATGAGATGAATTATTATCAAACGCCTATCAAATGTCCTGAAATCCACTAAGAACCCATGTGAAAGCATGAAAACCTTACCAGCAGCCATTATAATTTCAGAATATAATTTTCAGGTTTGAGCCAGTCAATTTTTTTTAAAGTCCTGGCGATAAATTTGGAGCTTTACACATGCTAGGCAAGCACTCTACCACTGATCTACACCTATCCCTTTTTAAAAATTTTGAGACAGGGTCTCAGTAAGTTGCTCAGCTTCTTGAATTTGCAATCCTCTTGCCTCAGCCTCCCAAGGAGCTGGAATTACAGGTGTGTGCCACTCTGCCTGGCTAAAGGTGATTCTTAATACTCTGCAGAGAACAATACATCACATCCAGTGAAAGTCAGTCAATGTCTAAGAACACCATTGGACAGACGGTTAAACAGCAACCATCAGGTGAGCTAATGGAGAACAGCACCCTAAGTACGGTGCTCAGTCAGACCTCGCCATCCACCCAGGACACCACACAGGATGCCACACATGGTCAGGTCAGCTGCTGCTCACATCACCCGCACTCTGCCTTGGGGATCTAACAGCACAGAGTCAACAGCCAGGACAAACCTCTGCCCCCACAGCCATCCAGCCTTTCCCCTCCAACCTGCTCTGGGAATTTGTTTCTCCTTAGTGTGCAAGCAGTAATAAGGAAAAGTAGGTAAAAAATGTTGGTGGATAGGAAAAGAAATACTGGCATGGCTGAAATGATTCAGCCAAAACTGAGGTACTACACCATAAGCACTGTTTCTGATTCGTTATTTTTTAACTCACAAAGGGCCTAAGAAACCATATAAAAGTCCTGTGCCTTGGAAACAACAGAGTCTCACTGCTTTGTTAAGAGGGACCCCTCTCTGTCATGACACTTCAGGGTTCCAGCCTACTTTCTACCACGACTGACTAAAACACAATCATTTCCAAAATACTTAGCACCATGTATCGCACAGTTGCATGCCCACATCCTCCAGAGGAGAGCGCCGCAGGCTGTAACAAGTCCAGAACTACTCACTCATGTTTAAGGCAGCCATGCCACCCTGAGGAGCTGCCGGGTAGACGTTGGGAACATTCGCCGTCATGAAGTCTGCGATCTGCTGTAATGCCAACAGGCCTGTAGGGTTCTTCCCCTTCTTGAACTGTTCTTGTATCATCGATTCCAATTCTTCACAGAAAGCCTAATAAAATGAATTTTAAAAGAGTGTAACACCATTTCTCTTCTGTTGGGGAGGGGTAGTTATCATATAAACCAATTTTTTGTTTTTATTCTGTGCTCGAACAACAAATAGATCTGTTCATACATTACAACTGGAAATATAAACTGACACTTTATTTTCTGGAACTATAAACTGACACTTCATTTTTTTAATAAAAATAAAAGCTTAAAAATTTGAATAGGAATTCTATTCCTAGGAATATATTTTAAGGAAATAATCAGGAGGAATGTGCTCAAAGATATATTCATAAGGGCCAGGGATTTAGCTCAGTGGTTCCGGCACCTGCCTCACAAGCACAATGTCCTGAGTTCAATCCCTGGTATCAAAAAAAAAAAAAAAAAAGATACATTATAAGAATGTTCATTTCAACATTACCAAAAAAAGAGGGAAACACTCTATATTTCAAACACTAGAGGACTGATTTGATACCCTGGGAATTTTGTGCATGCATTCAAACTTGAAAAGCTAAAAAAAATTAAATGGCATAAAAATTGCTCTTGATAGATTTTTGAGTAAAAAGGGTCATAAAACACTATAACCAGTTTTTGTAAGAGTAAATACATATCTAAACAGAAAGAGAGTAAAAGTAAATACATCAAAATGTTAATTATAGGGCCAGGGATTTAGCTCAGTGGCTCCGCTGCCTGCCTCGCAAGCACAAGGACCCGAGTTCGATCCCCGGTACCCCCCCCAAAAAAAAGTTAATTATAATTATCTTACTGGCAAAATAATTAGTAATTTCAGATGCCACTTTGCAATTACCAGTATTTTCTCCGAAACACTTTTGAAATATAGACATCCCAAATACATACATTCTTTATCAATCCTAGATTAGTCAAAAAGGTGCCAATGGATTGGTAGTGATTTTAATATAAAGTCAGTTGCAATAATAGATATTTTATAGTTTCCCCAAACTGTAATATAATTTTTTCACATGCTCTATGAAGAAATACTATCTGTCAAGTAAATGATATGTAATATGAAGATGTGGGCTCACTGAGTAAGGATCCACATCTAACTGTAAGTACTCTAGGACTCGCTGACTTCACACTCAACTTGTTTCTAGTTTTCGCTGCTTGGGCTGAAAAGAGCCTGCGGGGCACGCTGAGGACAGCCCCAGTCCACCCTCCCTGGAGGAAGGACGCAGCACAAGTGCACTGCCCTCACTCTGGTCAGGCGTCTCCCAGGACCCTGTCTGTGCACACAATAAGGACAGCGAGGCTGCATCTGCGGCAGTGCCTGAGGAAGGGAAGCCTGGTACAAGCAAAGGCTCCTCAAGCCCATCATGCTCACGTCAGCTGATCCCTCGATCTGGGCAACTTCCCTGGATTCCTGTATGGCCAGCTCCTTCCTGAAAGAGTCAATTTAAATCTTCCCTCCCAGAGAGGCCACGGTTCTACTCAGTCTAAGCACCCTGCTGCTTTTGGCACTGTACTTCGGTTTGCTTTTCTTGTTTACCTTCTCCAGCTGGAATGTCAAGTCTGAGGCCCGATCTGGGTGATTACACACATGTCCTACATGTGTCAGAACTCATTAAGCACCAGGCATGGTGGCACACACCTATAATCCCAGCTACTCAGGACTGAGGCTGGAAGATCACAAGTTCAAGGCCAGTCTGGGCAATCTGGTGAGACCTTGTCTCAGAATAAAAATGGGGGGTACATAAAAGGGCTGAGGATGTAGTTCACTGGTAAAGCATTTGCCTAGCATGTGCATGGCCCTGGATTCAATCCTGAATACAAAAAAAAAAAAACCTTATGAAGCTATATATGTAAGATCAGTGCACTTGACTACAAGTAAGTCATACCTTAATAATAACAACTCAACCAAAGCTATTCATTAGAGCCCTTCTATGTCTTATTTACTGCTGAACTCCTAGTTCCAACCCATGTGTCCCCACAGCACATGGGACACAACCAATGTTTCCTAAAAATACTGAGGGTACAGCAAGAACAAATTAGAAAGACAGGCAAACGATGAAGCACAGAGAGGCCGGCAGCACCAACACAAGAGCACAAGCAACAGCTCACTTTCCCTGAAGATGCAACCCACCCAGGCTCGGTGGCTGTGACTGTGTTCAGGCACTGGCTGCGGAGAATCTCCTGCTGTTAACTTACTCTGTGCCCAGGACCCTGCCAGGCCCAGGTGGAGTGACCCCTATCCGAAATGCTTGGGACCAGAAGTGACTCCGATTTGGGAGTTTTTCAGAGCTCAGACTATTTTGCATAGACTTTACTGGTTGCATCCCTAACCCAAAAATCAGGAATGCTCTGAAATCCAAAACCTTCTGAATGGCATGATGCTCAAAATGTTTCAGATTTCAGATTTTTGGGTTAGGGATGCTCAACTGCATTCTGGAGGAAACAGAAATTTTCAAGCTGTCCCAATAATCAAAAGATCCCTGGAGAAACAAGACAATGAAAGGAGAAACAAATACCTCCCTGCCTTTGTGACATTGCAGACCTCTCACCATGTCTGACAACATAACCAAAACAAAATTCTTTCAACAAACATGACGTGTATACAGGCACCCACTTCCTGTGTGAAGATCAAGTGATCCACACTCAGACAACAGAGCACAGGAAATGAGGCAGCAAAAGAGGGAAGACAGCCTTTGTTCTGGGACATGTTTCGCTTACAGGACTCTGCAGAATCATGGACACTCTCTTCTTCTGCTCCATCATATTGAAATCCTGGCGAAGGTCTGGCGCCATGTTCCTCTCCCGCAAGTATTCTGGGTTGTTTTCGTCTACTCTGTCGAAGTACCTCTCCTTGTGAGGGGCTGTGGTCGGGGGTGGTGAAGTCACCACTGCAGCCCGAGGATCACCATTCATGGCACAATCTTTCTAGAGTCCTACCGAATCAAAACAAAAGAAAACACTGTGTGTGAATCAATGTTCAATAGCATTTCATCAGAAGCACATGGGCCTGGTAAACACAACCTTCCACATAAAGACACGCTAACCAGGGTAGGCTTCTTGGTGGCTCCAGAGGCACAAGTTGACCCTCCCGACGCGTGTCCTGGCCACTGTTTTGCAGCAGACCATGGGAGAGACATCTAACAAAGCCATGATGTCCTCTGACCCTTCACAGAACTAGATACAAAGCTCTTGACCATGTCATTTACATTCATGATTTATCCCATACAGAGCATTTCTGAAGAACATCTGACTTCTTTCTTTTTCTCTTTTCTTTTTTCTTTCCTTTTTGGGCACTAAGGATGGAACCTGGGGCCTCATGCATACACCCTTAGCTTTGAGAAATGTTACCTGGAAAAAGGATACTTTTTCAAAAGGTGTTGGCAATAATCCTACAAAGGATTACCTAAACTGATTAGTAGGAGACAAGCTGCCCACACATCTGCATTCACACAGATGAGAAATGGTCCTCATTAATGTCACCTCTCTGGTACAGAGAACAAGGAGCAGGAACCACCAGAAATGTCAATGTGCTCATTTGTGCATAACCTAAAGAGATGCCAAGATGGCTCCAATTTAGAAGTCTGTGAGGCCATGCAAGTGGAATGTGAACTTGACTGGCTTTGGGAACTGCCTGGGGGATTGCTAGAGCACACTTCTGGATGTGTGGGGTGATCATGGAGGTGTGGCTTGGGGATCTGTATCTGCTCCCTGGCCCTTCCTCTCTGGCTATTCCTGCTCTGCTTCCCAGCTGCCAAGAACGAAGCAGCCTTCCTCCCCCTGCCCTTCTGCCATGATGTTCCTGCCTTGGACCCAGCCAACCATGGACTGAATCCTCTGAGACCATGAGCCAAAATAAACTTCTTTAAGCTGTGGGTCTTGGTTGGGCACTGTGTCCCACAGATGGGAAAGCTGACCAACACAGTCTGTTATATGGCTACTTATTTTATATTCTTTCTAACCCCAACCATTCACTTGAAATGACATTCAAATGCACTATATTATGGTTCATCTTTAACTGCTAAATTCCTAACCAGTGCCTTTACTCATCATACAAGAGTTTAGTTTCTAACCTGATTCTATGATAGCTTCAACAATATAAATGCAGTATTTAATGAACTTCTATTATGTCCAGTCATTTTATGTTGAGCAAAAAAGACATCAGACATGGTCCACCTGATGAGGAGAGTCAGACACAATTCAGCAGGGGAGACAGACTCATAGCGGATCTTAGAGGCAACAACAGCTGTTTCCTGGTTCCCAGAGAAGAGTGAAAGAAGACTCTCTAAAAGCCAATGAGTTCAAGATAAGGCATAGATTGCTTTCCTTTAGCTGCACATTACCATGTGAACCAGGTAAGGACAGCAGACCAGACTGTCAACCAGACTGCCTGAGTTCCTTTCCTTCAATTAGGAGATCTATAGACTTAAAGTCAAAATATGTATATTCTGAGCCAAATAAAAGAGGTTAAGTGTTTTGTTTTGTGGACACTAGGAACTGAACCCAAGACCTGGGCTACACTCCCAGCCCTTTTGATTTCTGAGATAGGATCGTGATAAACCACCCAGGCTGGCCTCAAACTTGTCATGCTCCTGCCTCAACCTCTCAAGTAGCTCAGATTACAGGCATAACTTAGTTTTAAGAATGTGTTACAATAGAAAACTTTTTAGGGGTAGGGGTGGAGCTCAGTGGTTCAGCACTTGACTCTAATGCGTGAGGCCCAGGATTCAATCCCTAGTACCAGAAAAACAGAGAAAGACTCTCTAGGAAAGCTTTACATTTAGTTTGCAAGTTATTATTTCATCCAGCACTTTAGTAGTTGCTAGAGAAAAGGAGGTGTATTCTTTTTTTGCTTTGTTCTGTTTGCAGTCCTGGGGGTTGAGCCCAGGGCCTTCACACTCAGCTACATCCCCAGCCCTTTAAAAAAAATTTTTTTTCGGTACCAGGGATCGAACTCAGGTCCTTGCACTTTCAAGGCAGGCAGGAGAACCACTAAGCTAAATCCCCGGTCCCCCAAAATTTTTATTTTTTAACTTTGAGCCAGGGTCTCACTAAGTTGCCCAGACTGGGCTCAAACCTTCGATCCTCCTGGGGAGGTAGATTCATTTTTCCTCTCCACTACTGATTCCTAAGAGGCAGAAAGGGAGGAATTAGTTTTTCAGACTATGTAAAATGGTTCAGACATGGGAGGTCAAGGTTAAAACTCAGAGATGGAGGGACTGAGGCTCAGATGTTAGTGTAAATCAGTGAAATGCTAAGAGCACTAGTTTTAAAGAACCCTGCTAACCTCAAACATTGAGGTTAATGGCAAAAATAAAACTGTGTGCCTTGAAACTGACTGGCAATTTGTGCTCATCTTTATTTTCCAATTATACTAAAATGATAACCAAGTAAAGGGGGGCTGTTTAGTACTGAATACTAAAAGGGTTGATTCCTTAATGCTAGCAGTGCTGCGTTGTAGATCACTATGGCCGGCCCTAACTTGCTTCCTCCCACAGATGAGGCAGGGCCCCTCATGCGGGGCCCCTCGTGGAATGAGGAACACACCTCCTGTTCGCTTCCTCCTGCAGAGGAGCCAGGGCCCCATGGGAGGAAAACAGGCGACAACAGGACACAGGACATGTGGGAGCAAGGCCTGGCCAAGAAGAAGGCGTGCCTTCCTCCCCGCCCATTGGCCATAAAACCATCAAGCCTGATGTCCTGTAGACCCTAGCTGCTCTCCCAGTTCCAGTCACCGGCACCCTCTTCTCCTCCTGCTGCGCATCCCTGATCTCTACACTGTAAATAACTGCACTGCGTTGCCAGCTGGTCCTTTTCTCCCATCAGGAGGAAGGCTCCACCTGGCCTCAGTTTCTCTATCTGTCTTTTCTTCATCCTCCACCATTCTCCCTCCATGCACCCTTCAGCTGTGCAGGCTGTGACATCTTAACCCTGAAAGGAATAAGTAAAACCCATTTAAGTGATGCAGAGCAATGGATTCTAGTCCTGCTGACACTAAGCACACCAGGGATCTTGGGGAACGCCGGGGTCAGAAACTGACCACTGATGGATCTCAATGTGCACTGTTTTAATGTGTCCACAAAGCACAATGCTACTGAGAAAACTAAAGCAGGAATACTAAAATAATTCCAGAAAATAACAGCACAGTTATGGTGCTGTTTCAGTGGCAATTTAAAGGTAAACAAAACCAAGAAACTCCAGTGGATTAGTTTAAGGATATGAATCTTTTATTTAGACCATTAATAATGTGTTGTGCCCACACACTAAAGTCTGTATCCTGACCTTAAATTGTATCTGTAATACCCTTGATTTAAGCACTTGAACACGCATAACTTTTTTCTTCTTAGGTGAATACAGAGGTGCCGGTCTCAGTATAGAAAAAGGAAAATATGGAAACTATCCTCCACTGATTTTCTTCAGGCAGCCTAGTTAAGCACATGCACTGCCAGGCCCACTCGCGTCACGGCACCTAGTATGCATGTGTGGCTGAGCTGGGTCCAGATCCAGACAAACTGAAACAGAGACCTAAAATCACATGTGAGACAGCTGGACATCGGAACACTGACTAGATACTGAGGTGTAAAGAAAATACTGTTAAATATCTTAGATGTGGCTGAGCCTATAATCCCAGCACTCTAGAAGGCTGAGGCAGGAAGATCAGAAGTTCGAGTCTGGCTTAAGCAATTTAGTCACTTAGCAAGATCCTACCTCAAAATAAATTCCTCATTTAACGACCTACCTGTTTAACAGGTAGGACTTAACTGTTCAGACTTACGACCAAGATGTGCTATTCGGGCTTATGATCCACTGGTCAGCTTTACAATGTCCTTTTGGGGTACAGTTCTGTACGTCTTGATAGGGCCTCAGTGTATTTTTCTGTACAGTTCACCCTGTTTGCATGGAGTTGTAACTGTTGCTGACTGTACTGTTCAGCATTGTAGTTTATGTTCTGTTCTACATCACAGCACTGCAAGTAAGTTATGCGAATCAAAGCAAAGCCACCGAGGTGGAGTTTTCTTTGACCTTTTCTTTGTTCTGAACATTGTAATACTATACACAGCTCCTCATTTGGCAACCAATTCAGGTAGCAGCCTAGTCACAGAACTAAAACTCAGTCATTAATCAAGGAATGTCTGATAAAAAAAAGGGTTGAAAGGGCCAGGGATTCAGCTCAGTGGTTCCACTGCCTGCCTCGCAAGCGCAAGGTCCCAAGTTCGATCCCCAGTACCAAAAAAAAAGGGTTGAAGATGTAGCTCAGTGCAAAGGCCCTTAAGTCAATCCCCAGTAACAAAAAAACCACCACCACCTCAGATTTATATTAGGGTTAGGCACATACAGATATATTTATGGATGAAATAATATATTGCAAAGTTTTACCAAGATACACAGAGCGCTAGGGGTGAGGGTCACACAAATGAAACTAGTGTTGTGGGTTGTATCTAGATGTCACCCCAAAGCTGCATGCAGTCATAGGTGAGGCTTTTTGGGGGTGGATGGATCTAAGTGTGTGCTGAGATTAAGAACTTCTTTTTGTTTGTTTTGAAACAGGGTCTCACTATGCAGTTCAGGCTAGTCTTGAATTCACTATGTAGCCCAGGCTGGCCTTGAACTCATGGCGATTCTCCTCTGTGATGCCCCTCTGCCACGTCACCCTGCCTTGGAGCCAGCCAACTATGAAACGAAACCTGTATAAACTGTGACCTACAACAAACCTTTCCTCCTTTAACTTTGGGAGTTGGGCATTGTGTCTCAGCAATGAGAAAAGTAATGAGACAACTGGCTGTGAGCTGTACTGCCAAGCCGGATGCAAGGTGAAGGAAGGTATGCTGTGCTCTCTGCCCTTCCTGTAGTGTCTGAGGGCACCCAGCACAAAGCATCCCAGGATGTGTTCTGCAGACTGCTACAACTGCTCTCAGCAGGAAAGGTGACTTGAAGG